TATGGTATTTTGCTATGGGGACACGCAGCTGACACTGAAATTATATTTGTTTTACAGAAGAGGGCCATAAGAGAAATTTATGATTTATAGCCTAAAGAGTCGCTGCGACAAAAATTTAAGGATATTAATATATTAACTTCGGCCTCTCAATACATTTATGAAAATGTAATGTAGGTACACAAAAATAAAATTAGTTTTACAAATATAAGTGATATTCATTCTGTAAATACTAGGAACAGACACAAGCTAGTAGTACCAGTTACTCGACTCAATCGAGTCAGTAATTGATTCTTGGGGCGATGTAAACACTTTTACAACAAAATTCCAGAAAATATACAAAGTTTGACCTGTTCAAAGTTCAAAGACTTTATTAAACTAAGTTTGTATAAAAAGGGTTATTATAATATTAAGGAATTTATGGATGATAATAACCCCTGGAAATGAGGTGATCGCTACCAAACTATTTCTAATTTGTTGTGTTGTTAATTTGTGTAACATCATGATTGTAAGCTGTTATTTAAAAAAAAAAGTCCCGCTGGGTTTCTTGCTGGTTCTTCCCAGGACAGAGGTTTTTTCCGAACCAGTGGTAATCAAACAAAAGAGTGACTTTCAATAAGTATTATTTATAATCTATATTGAATAAAAAAGTTTCTGTTTCTGTTTCTGGAGTCCATAAGAGCAGACATAGGTTATATGATCTTTACCATGAAATGTCATATAATCATAGCGTCGAATTTAGGGAATATGTTAAAAAGATATTCGAATATATTTAAAAGAGTGTGCGCCACAGCCAAGTCTTTGCATTTGAGCAACAATATTAAGACGGCTTCTAATAAAATTAAAATAACATGGAGTATAATTAAAATCGAAACCGGTAAGATCAACTGTCGCAATTCAAACTACCAGTTAAGTGTTAATAACAAATTAACCGAAACAGATCATGTCGTTGCAATGGTTTGCAACGTCTGGGCTGGTTCTTTGCTCGCTCAAAGGCTAAGTATAGCCATTCAGCGGGGAAACGCAGCCAGCGTTCTTGGCACGATACCGCAAGGAGTAAGACTATATGGTAACTAAGTTTCTAGTATTAGTTTTTTTTTATTATCATAGTATTTAATATTGTAGATAAAATTAAGTATTATGTAAAATTACGAGTTAAGTGTTAACAACAAATTAACTGTATCATATCAGGACGTAGCAATGGTTTTTGAGAAATATTTTAATGATATTCTGATATTAACCACTAAGTCACTGAATTCTTCTTCTGCGGTCGCCGAATCATTACTTAAACAAAATTTAAATGCGTGTACAAAGAATTTTGCATTTCATAAATTATCATCAAAATATATTGCTAAATATTTTAAAACTATTGATGTTAAGAAAACTGCGGATCTGTGGGGGATTTCCGTTAAAGTTATTGCGTCTATAATAGATACAATTGCACCTCATTTAGCTATTATTTTTAATACTAGTATCGAATCTGGTGTGGTTCCTGATTTAATGAGGTATAGTAAAGTAATACCTTTATTTAAATTTGGTAGTACATTAGACCCCGCCAATTTTAGACCTATTTCTGTGCTACCAACACTTAGTAAGATTTTTGAAAAAATTATTCCTGATCAAATGTTAAATTTCTTTAATATAAATAATTTACTTCATAAAAATCAATTTGGTTTCACAAGGGGTCGCTCGACAACTGATGCCGGTGTTGAGCTGATTAAATATATATTTAATGCATGGTAGAATTCACAGAATGCTTTGGGTATATTTTGTGACCTATCCAAAACCTTCGATTGTGTTCACCATGAAATATTAATCAGGAAACTTCAAACCTACGGTGTAAGGAGTGATGATATTAAAATCATTATTTCATATTTAAGTAAGATAACGCAAAAAGTTGTCATTAACAGTATGAGTTCTTCTGGTTCGATGGTAGAAATGGGCGTACCTCAAGGCTCAATTCTCGGCCCCTTTCTGTTTCTTGTATACATAAATGAATTACCTTACATAGTAGGAGATAACCATGATAAAGTATTATTTGTAGATGACTCTTCTTTAATTATCAAATTAAGTCGACAATTGGTAAAATATGACGAAGTAAATTATGCTATATCTAAATTAGTAAATTGGTTCAATGTTAATAATTTACATTTAAATGGCACTAAAACGAAATGTATGAAATTTATGACTCCAAATGTCAAACTATTAAATACTAATGTAATTTTAAATGGAGAGAGACTGAGTCTTGTAGATACCACCATTTTTCTTGGAATCACACTAGATGCGAAGCTTCAATGGAGCCCCCATATATCAAAACTAGCAAGCATACTTAGTTCTGCAGCATATGCCGTAAAAAAGATTAGAAATCTAACTAGTGTTGAAACAGCTAGACTAGTTTACTCTAGCTACTTCCATAGCATAATGTCGTATGGTATTTTGCTATGGGGACACGCAGCTGACACTGAAACTATATTTGTTTTACAGAAAAGGGCCATAAGAGCAATTTATGATTTAAAGCCTAAAGAGTCGCTGCAACAAAAATTTATAGAAATTAATATATAAACTTTAGCCTCTTAATACATTTATGAAAATGTAATGTACGTACACAAAAATAAAAGTAGTTTTACAAAAATAAGTGATATTCATTCTGTAAATACCAAGAACAGACACAAGCTAGTAGTACCAGTTACTCGACTCCATCGAGTCAGTAATTATTTCTTGGGGCGATGTATACGCTTTTTCAACAAAATTCCAGAAAATATACAAAATTTGACCTGCTCAAAGGTCAAAAAATTTATTAAACTAAGTTTGTATAAAAATGGTTATTATATTATTGAAGAATTTATAGATGATAATAACCCCTGCAAATGAGGTGATCTCTACCAAGCTATTTCTGATTTGTTGTGTTGTTAATTTGTGTAACATACATGATTGTAAGCTGTTATTTAAAAAAAAAGTCCCGCTGGGTTTCTTGCTGGTTCTTCGCAGGATAGAGGTTTTTTTTCGAACCAGTGGTAATTATACAAAAGAGTAACTTTCAATAAGTATTATTTATATTCTTTATTGAATAAAAAAGTTTCTGTTTCTGTTTCTGTTTCTCATATCACTCACTTTTTATTAAAAATGTGCTTCTTAGTTCTTAAAATTGTCGGTACTTTACTTGAACGCCATTTAAAAAAAAAACTATGAATGTCAACGTACAAGGTGATAAGACCTTTTTTAAGTTATATGAATAGATTTCTAACTCTTCTATACTACACATAGATTGGAAATAATCGAAAAAAATACTGATTTAAGCTTTAAAGTGATTTACATAATTGAAAGTTTTTTTTGTAGAAGAAAGGTAACGAACGAGCACGCAGTCCACCTGATGGGAGGTGGATGCTGTGGATCATAGACGTGTAGATGCCTCAAACATCTCTAATGCTATCTCAATATTTAATGATGACTTTAAACTCATCTCCGAATGGTCCACTCTGTAGCATAAATGTGAACCCATCTAAGTGCCAAACAATAATCTTAGGTAGCCCACGATTATTATCGAAACTAGATATTCCTACCCTACCATCAATTATGTTTAAAAATAATGATATACCATTCTCTCGCCATGTAAAGAACCTTGGTCTGTACGTTGATGATTGCTTAACACGGAACAAACATATACATGAGGTGAGTCGCAAAACTACTGGAACTTTGCGATCTCTATATCGATTAAAAAAAATTCTTCCCACCAATACTAAGATTTTACTTGTCCAGTCACTTATGCTACCGATTATTGATTATGCGATGTGTGTTGCTCAGACCTGTCTTAACATCATCTTAATACATTGGATCGTCTACTTAACAACCGTATCAGATACATTTATGGTCTCCGTAAATACGAACATGTATCTTTTTTTTTGTGCTCAGTTAAATTGGCTGTCTATCGGTCAGCGCAGATATGTCAGAATACTCTGCACTGTTTTCACAATTCTGAACGATCTATGTGCTCCCGAGTATCTGAAATCCAAATTTCAATACCTGGGAGATTCTCATAATCGTTCTCTCCGTTCTTCGGCTAAACTTAAGTTGCTTACTCCTTTACACCGTACTGATTATTTATCTCAATCATTCGCCCTCACGGCCATCAGACTCTGGAACGACATTCCTTTTGATATTAAAAAAGATTCCAACAAGTTTGTTTTTAAAAATCAACTCCGTAAGCATGTGAAAAAATTGTTGCAAGTTTGAACTAACTCAGCTCTTATTTTCATACACATATTATGTATATTTAATATTTGTTCTGACATAGATAATATTTATATGTATTGTGTATATATATAATGTATGCATGTATATGTGTATGTATGCATTTATATATGTATATATTGTGTGTATTTAAGTATATACGTCTATGTATGTGTGTGTATGTGTATATTTATATGTATATACAATATTTTTAGCGCTTTCTATTTTGATTACTGCTGCACCGTCTCTTGTTTGTATATCTCTGTTTAGCCTAAAGGTTGATTGTCCGCCATATGTACAACTTTGTGCATGAAAGATTAAATTAAAAAAAATGTCTAATTTCTAAAAATAAGGAATGTAGACCTATCCTCGATTAATAATCAAAATGCAGATGCGTAGCCACTCCTGAAGACTAAGATGGAATGCCTCGTTTCATATGTAAAAAGGGTTTCCGATTCTCTACACTCATGATACGAAACACAGTAACATTAACGCAGCATGGCTCTACAAGGTAAAAAAAAAACTACTTGTCCAAAGGCCACTATTATGTATCTGCAAGGAATCTACGCGGACTAGTTTGCGGGTAATAGCTAGTCCTGAATAAAGATAAATAAATAAATACACTCTGTCTGAGAAACGATTTTAGAAAGTATTCTATAGAAATTACTTTATTACTTTAAATTCCTTATTTTTTCTAAACTAGTTTTTTTAATAAGTTAATGTTAGAAACTAACTCTTATTAACAAAATTAAAAAAAATAATTTTGTCAACAGGTCATGTTGCTTGTTATTTGGTTCGCGGTCATATTGGCCGCTGCGGCGCTCTATTTCCATCAATTGCACACCAGGTTCAGCAGATATGGAGTCAAGCAGTTCAAGCCAATACCAATTGTTGATAATATGGCTCGCATTATGCTACGTATGAGACATATAACTGATGACACACAAAAGCTTTACAATGCCTTTCCTGAAGAGAGGTAATCTATAGTAATACATAGATGTATATGTGAATATGTATATATATATATATATATATATATATATATATATATATATATATATATATATATATATGGAATATATAGTGCTATCCCTGGAACCATAAGGCCTAGAGACTTGAAATATTTGGAAGGAGTATTCCTTTTGCAGAGTAAAGGTCAGCTAAGAACGTATTTTACGAAATTCCACCCGCAAGGTGGGTTGCGAGGGACTTAATTAAAAAAAATCTCATTTCAAATCTCTTAACGCTCTTATAGGTATAAAACTTGAACAGAATATTATTTTTGTACGTGTTTCAATGTGTCCTTAAATGGTTTGGATTCACGATTAGATCCGGTAGGTGGTATTGTTGTCGACATTCAGAAATCACCCGTGCGAAGCTGGGGCGACTCGAATATAGGATATTTTTGCATAAATATTTTTTTTTACTTATTATAAGCCAGCTCTTGACCACAATCTCACCTGGTGGTAAATGATGATGCAGCCCTAGATGATAAATTGCACTGTCTTAGCGTAACAAAAGCCTATTCATTCTTACCTTGAAAGATGCCCAGATTGTATTCGCACGTAAAGATAGACGTCGGCAAATTATGCCACTTCATTGCTGTACGCATTACAAAAGGCGAAGCAAACAAAAATCAAAAAAGCATTAGTCGCAGGACATTCTCATTAATCCTATAATATATTCTGAATATCTTTATATTTATATAATATAATTCTACTATCCGTGTGTATGTGACTGAACTCCTCCTTAACGGCTGGGCCGGTTTTGATGAGAATTTGTGTGTGTGTGTGATTCAGTTGATTTGAGAAGGGTTTAGATTCACAACTGGACCCGATAGTTGGCGTTGTTATCAAGATATAGAAATTACCCATGCGAAGCCGAGGCGGACCGCTAGTATTATATAGAGGGAATGCGAATTTTGTGAGTTCGTGTATCTGTGGAAAGTAATCACCGGAATCTGTGCACCTATTCGGAAACTTATATCACCACTTGATAGGTGCATTGTTCCAGACGTGCATAGGCTATATATTATATTTATATATATATACATTTTATATTATGCTTAAAATTTATGATGATATTTGTCAACTACGAGATGTCGGAAAAAGCCGTATCTCTTAAGAGGCTTCATAGCGTGCGAGTCAACAGTTAAAAGTTGCACGAAAATAATGTACGGCTAAATTCCTCTTCAAAAGTTTGCGACTTTATACGAGTATATAGTGGTAAGTGGCATCTGCAGCCTACAACCAACTTCAAAAAAAGAGGTAGCAGATTCGTTTTCTGATTTTTTTTAGAATTATGGTGACAAACGAACACACAGTCCACCTGATGGTAAGTGGTTGCTGTGGCCCATAGACATCTACATCTATCCTCGTTTGCGAAACAAAATGCAGATGCGTTGTCACCCGTGAGGACTAAGATGGAATGCCTCTTTTCTAGTAAAAAGGGTCTCCGGTTTTCTACACTCACCATACGAAACACAGCAGCGTTATGCTGCTATTTTACGCTGGTATTCTGTGAGAGCGTAGTCCTTCCCCGGCCGAGTCGACCCATTCGTACTACAACTATACTACTAATATAGCTGCTGTGTTCTGGTCTGAAGATAGAGAGCCCGCATAATTTTAGGCTGTGAAGTACTCCATATTAGTCCAGTAGTCAGTTATAGGCCTTATAGCAACTTCATCTTTCACGTGGTAGAGCCATGCTGCAGCTATATTAATATGAAGTTGTAGCACGAATGGGTCAGCACGACCGGGGAGGGATCATAGAGGGATCACAGAATACCAGCGTAAATAGCAGCTGTTTCGTATAGTGAGTGTAGAGAACTGGAGACCCATTTTACTGGAAAAGAAGCATTCTATCTTAGTCCTCACGGCTGACAACGCGTCTGCATTTGAATTCGCAAACGAAGATAGATGTAGATGTCTATGGGTCACTGCAACCACTTACCATCAGGTGGACTGTGTGCTCGTTTGTCACCATAATTCTAAAAAAAAAATCAGAAAATGAATCTGCTACCTCTTTTTTTGAAGTTGGTTGTAGGTTGCAGACGCCACTTACCACTAGGTGGATTGCAAGTTCGTTTATCACTGCATTTAGAATAAAGAAATGCAGGAAAAATATGGGACGTCGTGATTCTTAATTTAAATTTTATTTTTCTCTCTTCTAGGTTCGTAGGAAGATTTGAATTTCTGAATCCTGTGGTCATGATTAAAGACATTGAATTGATAAAGAAGATAACGGTGAAGGATTTCGAACACTTTCTGGACCATCGCTCTATTGTTAACGAGAATGTTGACCCTTTCTTTGGGCGGAATCTGATCTCATTGAAAGGTTTCGTAATTATAATAGAACAATCAAATTTTATTAAGGATTATTTATTCTGTTGGTCGTAATATTAATATTATCTATAATAACCATTATTGGATATTCCGATTTATTATTATTATTTAAATATTCCTATTTTTTACTTTTGTAAAGTGCCCAAAATAACGTATGAAACTCCTATGTTATAAAGTTACAGCCTAAATACGTCCCACAGCTGGGCACAGGCCTCCCCTCATTTCTGAGAGGGTTTTAAGGCAAGGAAGTGTCCGCCGCGCTGCCCCAATGCGTTTTGGCGAACTTCACATGTCTTCGAAATATTTTTTTCTCTTATTCCTCAGACATGCAGGTTTCCTCACGATGTTTTCCTTCACCGCCGAGTACGTGGTAAAGTACTTAAAATTGCAATTAACAATTTCATTGGTGCTGACGGGGATCGAACCCGGTTTGATCGCGTACTGTGAAATTTACAGCGAGCGCTAACCATCTGAGCTACCACGGCTTCATACGGTTCAGTGGTAGAATGCTTGCCTGCCTATGTTATAACTAATGGACATCCAAAAATACACACTTGAAATGTATTATGATGTTATTTTGCGACCGCTTGAACAGAGACTATTAAGTGTTTGACATTGGCCTTGGACTAATAACGTACTTGTCCGTACTCTGAGACATTGGCAGTATGAACGTGAACGGTTTAACTTAAATTATCTAATTTTATTGAAAGTAATGGTAATTTGTTTACGTGGTAGAGCCATGCTGCAGCTATATTATGGTTGTAGCACAAATGGGTCGGCTCGACCGGGGAAGGACCACGCTCTCACAGAAAACCAGCGTGAAATAGCAGCTTAATGCTGCTGTGTTTCGTATGGTGAGTGTAGAGAACCGGAGACCCTTTTTACTGGCAAAGAGGCATTTCATCTTAGTCCTCACGGGTGACAACGCATCTGCATCTTGAGTCTTTATTGAGGATAGATGTAGATGTCTATGGGTCACAGTAAGCACTTACCATCAAGTGGACTGTGTGCTCGTTTGTCACCCGATCCTATATAAAAAAAAAACACATGTGATATATAGATTTTAGTTTTCTACACTCTTTTTCCATCGAAATTTAAACTTTTCTAAATCTCACTCTCATCCGTACGTACAATTTGCTTGAATAGGGGTACAGTTTTCTTTTCACGTATTAGTATATAGAAGATAGATTTGAGCTTTAAGGGTATTTTTTGTATTAGGCGAAGAATGGAAAGACATGCGATCGACATTAAGCCCTGCATTCACGAGTTCTAAGATGCGTTTGATGGTTCCATTTATGGTTGAAGTTGGAGAGCAAATGATAAAGTCACTTAAGAAAGAAATTCAGAGTACTTCTGGTAAGTAATAGCCACATTCTTAGTAATTATAAGCCAAAGAGTGATAACAACCTCAATGCAGCTATGTTATCGTTGTAGTACAAATGGGTCGGCTCGACCGGGGTAACAACCAAGATAACAGCCTAATGTTGCTGTGTTTCGTATGGTAAGTGTATAGAAGCGGAGACCCCTTTTTACTGAAAACAAGACATTCAATCTTAGTCCTCAGATATGACAGCATATCGGCATTTTGATTCCAAATCGTAAATAGATAGTGTCCATGGTCCAAAGCATCCACTTACCATCAGGTGGACTGCTCGTTTGTCATCCTATAAAACAATTTTCTTAAAAACGTTGTATACCATAATGATAAAAATAAATAGATAAAGTGTATCAAAAAATAAAGTAACACAAAAAGATAAAAAGCAATATTAAAAGCAAGCCCTTTTATATAAAACTAATTTTACCGTATTTATCGCGTTTAATTATACTTATTTTTTAATTCCGGACGTTTCGGGTGCTTTCCAGCACTGGGTCTGAGGTGATTGACATCCCGATGTCAGAGTTAACCCGGAGTACCTTCAGCTTTTAATTATTAGTTTTGGTCCGATCAACGCAGAGTGAACTTACTGTGTCGTGAAGTCTTGCAGTGGTATGCTTGGGCTTAGTTTTAATTTTATTAATTACAGGATCCTAAGCAGGTGGTAGTACCCAGTCTCCCTCAGTATTGAAATTAGGACGTTTTTTTAATTTCAATAGCCTCCCGTATCATCTTTGGCAGGAATCGATGTTCTTTCGCGAGAATTTGTGGTATATCAAATCTAATGTTGTTGTAGGATGTTCGTCCTCGTGCAATTTATGTTTGTAAACTCCCTCTACGATACAGGAGAAAATCCTAGTGTAGAGGTAACGTTTGTAAAAAAAAAAAGAATGTAATAGCGGGGGCCGTCTAGGATATGAGCTGTCTAGGAATAGAATCATTTTTATTCGATATAGATAACAGGGTGAGAAATAGTGTGATAAGACAAAAGTGTGGTTTGCAAGATGACGTTGTGACAAGGATTAAGAAAGGAATGCTTCGGTGGTTTGGTCATGTAGAAAGAATGAACGAGGAAAGAGTGACAAAGCAAATTTATGTTGCAGAAGTGAACGGCAGGGTCGGGAAGGGACGCCCTAGACGAAGGTTTATCGACCAAATTGACGATACATTAAAAATGGGCCAGATTAGGAGTACCCTTAACCGACGAGCGTGTATGCATAGATATATGGATGTAAAAGAGGCGAGAGAGGTGTGTCAGGATCGCGCCAAATGGAAGTCCGTAGTCTCTGCCTACCCCTCTGGGTGACAGGCGTGAGTGTTTATGTATGTATGTTTTATTATACTTTATACTTATTGTAAGTCATTTTTTACTTTTACCACCGGTTCGCAAAAAAACAACCTCTATCCTGGCAAGTACCAGCAAGAAACCCAGCGGGACTTTTTAAAAGTCTGCAGTTTGTGATCATATCCTAGACCACGCCATCTATTATGAGTAACATAACTATGAGCAGCAAATATGAAAACAGAACATTAGATTAGGAAAACAATCCGCTTCTATGGGTACACAATCAGTAACAAAAACTGTTCTTACCGAATGAGTGCCCAATCGAGCATTTGAGTGCGCTATTAATCTAGTAGCATTCGAATGCTCTGACGGTGAACTTGCCTCAGTGCTTGTTTAAAAAGTGTAAAAATCACATATCCAAGAAGGTAATAAAGGATGAAATTATATATTTTCGGTGAGTATTAATATCATAATAATTTGATTGTTGTGACTGTATTACGTGGTAGAGCCATGCTGCAGCTATATTAATAGTATAGTTGTGGCACGAATGGGTCGGCTCGACCGGGGAAGGACCACGCTCTCACAGAATACCAGCGTAAAATAGCAGCTTAATGCTGCTGTGTTTCGTATGGTGAGTGTAGAGAACCGGAGACCCATTTTACTGGAAAAGAGGCATTCTATCATAGTCTTCACGGCTGACAACGCATCTGCATTTTAATTCGCAAACGAAGATAGATGTAAATGTCTATGGGCCGCCTGTCTATGGGTACAAGTCGGCACGCAGGGAATGAGCCCCTGGTTATTTTGGGGTTTTTTTTGAAACATAATAGTTATTTTTAGTAAGTAATTGTCTTCAAAAATGGTTGCTTGTTCTGTGTAAGTAACTACGGTGTCAATAGTAGAAATAATCCTGATGATGGCAATATTTCAAGGATAAATTCTTAAGACGTCCTTACCTCTATGACGCGTTTATTGTTTTTATATAAATTATTTTCGTATTTTTTATATATTTCGCAAAGCAAAAAAGTGACGTTGTTGATAATTTGCATAATTTTGGTGAATACGTTTTTCACGTTTACAAAGCACACACACACACACACACACACACACACACACACACACACACACACACACACACACACACACACGCGCGCGCGCACGCACGCACTCACGCACGCAGGCACGCACGCATGTATGCACCTTTTCTCGCTCGCTCGCTCGCACGTACAATTCTGGATTGTAACATGGGATTGTAACGTGCTGAATTCCAACATACACGTTTTAACCTACTTAAGATTTAGAGGCTTCATAGGCTGTTTTTAACCTCATATTATTATGTGAATAAAGATTACTAATATTACTATGGGGGTATTTAAATATTTCTCTCATCTGGTTGGGCTGTACAAATATATATAAATAGAAATGATAAATATACATAAATTAATATAGTGAAATAAATACATAAACAATACGTGAATAAATAAAAAGCCAACCAGATGGAAAAAGTAATTCCCAGGATAAACTTTCTGTGATGTAACGGAACTAAAATAAATGAATCAATGCTGTTGTAACGGCAGATACAGAAACAGAAACTTTTTTATTCAATATAGACTATAAATAATACTCATTTAAAGTCACTCTTTTGTTTCATTACAACTGATTCGAAAAAAAAACCCATGTCCTGGTAAGAACCAGAAAGAAACCCAGCGGGAATTTTTTTAAATAACAGATTACAATCATGTATGTTACACAATTAACAACACAAAACAAATTAGAAATAGCTTGGTAGTGATCACCTAATTCCCAGGGGTATGGTAATACCATCTATAAATTCCTTAATATTATAATAACCATTTTTATACAAAATTAATTTAATAAGTTTTTGAACATTGAGCAGGTAAAATTTTGCATATTTTCTGGGATTTTGTTGTAAAAGCGTATACATCGCCCCAAGAATGAATTACTGACTCGACGGAGTCGAGTAACTGGTACTTCTAGCTTGTGTCTGTTCCTAGTATTTACAGAATAAATATCACTTATTTTTGTAAAACTACTTTTATTTTTGTGTACGTACATTACATTTTCATAAATTTATTGATAGGCCAAAGTTAATATATTAATTTCCTTAAATTTTTGTCGCAGCGACTCTTTAGGCTTTAAATCACAAATTGCTCTTATGGCCCTCTTCTGTAAAACAAATATAATTTCAGTGTCAGCTGCGTGTCCCCATAGCAAAATAGCATACGACATTATGCTATGAAAATGGCTAAAGTAAACTAGTCTAGCTGTTTCAACACTGGTTAGACTTCTAATCTTTTCTACTTTACTTTTTAACCGTTTTTCGAACCGTTCCCTTAGCACTTGCACTGCAATTATTTATTATGTCCCTATAGGTAAAATATACATCACTAGTTAACGCACACAGGAGGAAAAAGAAACAAGCTTAATTTTTTTACCCTTAATCGATTCTAATGGAAAAAATTTATTAAAAATTTTAATGCCGTGGTAGTTCTAAGGGTAAGTGCGTGCAGTAAATTTCACATTTCGTGAGAAACCTGGATCGATCTTCGCAGGCACCAACGAATTTGTTCAAATGCAATTTTAAGTGCTGATTTACTACGTAATCGGCGACCATCTGTGCCATTTTGAAGAAACCTTTTAGAAAAAAATTTCTGTCTGATTGTTTTGTCTGTATATGCTAATCTTCGGAATGCTTGAACCGATTGTGATGAAACCTTATTAACAGACATAAATTCATGTCTGAAGGGATCTAGGCTATATATATCCAAAAAACTTGACGATTTTTTAAAAACTAAAATACGTTAGTATCTATCTGTGTTATGTCTACTCGCTTAAAATAAATATTGAATAAAAATACTCTATTCTATTTTATTCCAAGGTCGATTAACACACGAAGACAAAGGTTGTATAGACACGGATGCTGGATTTGCAACTGTCGAAGAGTCTTCTGTGGGAAAGAAGAAAATAGATCGTGGTATGTATTGGTCATCACTTAGGCAATGCTTGATTTTAACTGATAATTTTAATTCTCAAAGTAAAATAAGACGACGTTATATACTAACGATTTTCTTTTCTACAGTGCCAATCTTTCTTTATACTCGCCTGGACCAGGATGTGATGTGTAGACATGAGCTTTTTCGGATATTTTTTTTTAATTTTTTAAATTTCTGTTTTCCTTTTTTGCACTCCCGCACTAGGATTTTCTTTTGTATCGTAGAGGAAATTCACCCTGGACCAAATATTTGTAAGTGGTATAAATAAATATACTTGATCCATAAGAGATTAAAACACTCAAACCTGACCAAATATTTGTAGGCCGTACAAATATAAATACTTGGTCCGTGAGAGATTAAAACCCGCGAACCTCAGCGCCGCAATTCATTGCTAAGCCACTGCGACACGGAAACGTCAAAACATCGATATAATAATCATACGACAGTCAACGTTCGCACTGATTGAAAAGGAAACAGATTTCGGATTCTTTGTTTTTTTTTATGACATTTTTTTACTAATTAATATAATGATATGTTAAAATAATATAACAATTACGAGCCGATAAGAGAGCCACCATTGTAAGTAGCAAAGCTACTTAATAGGTCCCTGCAGGCCGAGATCACTTTCACAATAAAGGAGTAAAACCATAGTGCTGGGCTAATGTTTCAAAAAAAATGGGTTTTACACACCCTACTATGTACTTTACAATATATTGGAACGAAGTTCCTTATCGGACGGTACGGGTTTGGCGGATGGGAGCTAGACGACAAAAAGTGTAAGTAAAAAAAGTGTAAGTGACAAACGAACTTATGGTAAGTGGCTACTCGGACGATAAACACCTACAATCAAATTTAAAAAAAAATTGTCGTCTCTATAGACAAAGATTAAATATCTCGAAACTTTTTATTATACTGGATCTATATCGCTCACACCGGAACAAATCAGTACAAACACTGATTTTTAGCGGACAGAACAGGAGTCCTACCACCTAAAAATATGTATTAAAATTGTGTTACTAATGATGAATATCTAATTCTTTAGTGTGGACTGACAACGACATAGTGGCTCAGGCAGTGTTGTTCTTCATTGCTGGTTTCGATACTATTTCTTCTGCTATGTCGTTCGCGCTTCACGAAATAGCTATGCACCCTGAAGTCCAGCAGCGTCTGTATGAAGAGATCAAGGGACACCACGAAAAGAACCGCGGATCTTTAAATTACAATTCAATACAGAGTCTGAAGTATTTGGACATGGTTGTGTCAGGTATTTTCAAATATTATTACTTACGCCTGTTTACTTCATATTTTTTTAATACTAGGAATGCTATTGAAATTGCTATTATTCTCGTTAATTATTGCGTTAAGCTTAAAATGGTTGTGATAGCAGCGGTACTTATCTCTTTAGTTCGCGGTTAGCACTTTAATATTAGGCTATTGTGTCTTAATTATTATATTATTAATCTATACACATATAAATAAAATTGAAATATCTGTCTGTAATATTTGAATTACTGACTTCTAATGCTAATGATGCTATTAAGAGATAAATAACAATTTTTAAAATTTTGTTGTCTGCTGTCTGTCCGTCTGTCCAGGCTTCTTTATACGTCTTTCTAATTATCAGAATGGCTGAACCGGGTATGACTAAACTTTAGGAACAGATAGAGTGCAATGCCAGGAGTGATCTAGATTATATGTTGTTAAAAAAAAGACATTAATAGTTCCTAAACTGGTCATCACTAGTATTATGTAATATATAAAATTATTTATATTTAATAATGATGTTGTTTTCCAAAACGGTCCGTTTCATATAACTTTGGACGTCATTTATACGTCTTTTAATGATAAATATGTTATGATAAAATTTGTTGTTTATGTATTTTATCTGTGTATTTTTATTCTAAACAACATACAGTTACGCCTGTGATCTCCGAGTTAGAAGGCAGAGATTTAGGGCAGTACCTACGCTACTTAGACGTTTAATGAAAAATCCTAATATCACATTAGTCGCTTTTTATGACAAGTAACACGGTTGGCACGTGAGGATAACTAACATAAGAAATTATTGGAGAATCAAATGTAAATCAGAAATGAATAATATTGATTGTTTCTGTTAACTTTCAGAGGTGCTTCGGATGTGGGCTCCGGGCGTTGCACTGGATAGACTTTGCATTAAAGACTATAATTTAGGAAAACCAAACAAACAAGCTACACAAGATTACATAGTAAGTAACAGATATATTGTAAGACAAATTAAAACATATAAGTAGGAAATTACAGTAATATATATATATATATATATATATATATATATATATATATATATATATATATATATATATATATATATATATATATACTAGCTGCCCAGGCAGATGTTGTTCTGCCCTTTTCGACGACCCTTCATATTAAAATTCTTAAATACGTAATAAAAAAATATTAAGCATCACTAATCAAGATAAAAACTATCCTATCTCTCAAGTTGGACCCAAATTCACAGAGTGTAGAAAAATACATTGAAATTAGTTCAGTAGTTTAGGAATTAATCGCGGATTAACAACGTGACACGTAATTTTAATATATAAATAATATATATTTTTATAATAATAATCATCATCATCATTACGGCCTTTCCAAGTCCATTGCTGAATATAAGCCATCCCTAAGTAATGCCACAAAGCACGATCCTGAGCCACCTGCATCCATCAACTTCCTGTATGTATTACCAGGTCGTCACTCCATCTAGTGAGGTCGCCCTACATTTCGCCTACCAGTACGAGGTTGCCACTCGAAAACATTTTTTCCCCATCGGTTGTCGGTTCTTTGAGCTATATGGCCGGCCCATTGGCACTTCAGCTTACAAATCCGTTGGGCTATGTCGGTTACTCTGGTTTTACTGCGGATATCCTCATTTCTAAGTTCATCACGCAAAGAAACCCTGAGCATAGCCCTCTCCATAGCTCGCAGAGCGACCTTGAGCTTCCTCATACAGCCAGCAGTGAAGGACCACGTCTCAGATCCATAAGTCATCATTGGCAACACACACTGGTTGTACAATCTCGTTTTCAGGTTTTGAGGTATACCTGACGAGAAGATGTGTCGTAGTTTCCCGAACGCGGCCCAGCCAAGTTGAATCCGTCGATTGACCCCTCGATCGAAGTTTAACTTACCTAGTCGGACTATTTGTCCCAGATAAACATACTCGTCAACAACTTCAAGCTTATTGCTCTCAATAACTACTGTGTGACATGGACATTACACATCATCTTTGTGTTGTCCATATTCATCTTAAGACCTATCAGTTGAGAGACACTATTGAGGTAAATAAGTGAAGTGTTTAAGTGGTTAAGTGTTAAGTACTCAAGTGATTCTGCCATAAGGACTATATTGTCGGCAAATCGGAGGTGAGTGATGTACTCGCCATTGATATTAATACCATATTCTTTCCAGTCCAGTAGCTTGCAAACGTATTCCATTGCAACGATGAAGAGTTTCGAGGGTATAACGTCATCCTGTTTCACACCTATCTACAGTTGGATATGTTTCGTACTCTCACTCTATACTCGGAAAACCATCGTAGCTGTACAGTACAAATACTTCAGTACTTCCATATACTGGCAGTCAACTTGGCACCGCTGAAGGTACTGTAGCGCCGCTTAAATTTCAACTAAATCAAAGCCGTTCTCCTAGTCCACATACGCAACGCAAATTCGCAAATAGCTCTCTTCGGTCTTCTGAAAAATTTACCTAAGGATATGTATGCGAGCTATGGTACTAAAGCCTTTACGGAAACGAGCTAGTGTGGAAGACAGAACGTCGTTGAGTCTGCGTAAGAGACGATTCGTAATGATTCACGTAAACCGCACGTAGATACGGCAAAGAAGACAAATCTGTCTGTAGTTCTTCAAGAGAGAGTTTTTGCCGTCCTTGAAGAACAAGACCACCGTAATTCTGCTCCGCGCCTCTGGAGTAGTCCCAACATAAAGGATAGATTTAAAGAGCTTCTGAAGGATTTCAAGTACCGGTTTTCTACCTGCTTTCAGAAGCTCCGCTATAATATCATTCTTACCCGAGGACTTGCCGTTTTTAAAGTGCTGGAGAGCAATTTTAATCTTTTTCAGACTGATGTCTGGGTTATCATCGGAATAGTATCGTATAAGACTTGCTCTTGGATCCTTACTTACACTTGCGTGTGGCTCCAACAATAACGTGTATAGCTGCCCATAGTACTTCTCAATCTCACTCAAAATCTCAGGTCTTCCGGAAACCACACTCAGTCTTCAGCTTTGACAGTTGGCTCTTTTTGGCAGCCAGATCTCTGGAAAAGACTTTGGATCCTTGGTGCCACTCGATCGCTTCTTCAATACGAGCTGTTTTGAAGTTGTGTAAATTTCGCAGCATGCATTTGGAGATCTGTCTTTTCAGCTGCCTGGATGCCGTCAAATTTATTGAAGGCTGCAGCCTCATTTTCCGTCTAACAGCTTTGAGATTAAGAGCGTGATCGGAGAGTTGTTCTTCTGTGGCGGGTCTTGCAGAACTTAGCTCCGACCGCATGGACAGTTCCTCGAGCTTATCATTCATATCTTCCACTGCACAGCAGTTTTATAGGCACTGAAATCGGTTTTGTAACTCGAGTTCAAAGGTTTCTGGACGTTGGTTAGGTTCAGTGTGCTTTTCAGCATTCGGTGATCGCTGTTGGTTTTTCTGGAGACATCAATGAACAGTTGTTGTCTGGTCGTCATAATGAAATGAATCTCATTTATTGTCGAACCGTCGGGGCTCGATTAGATCCGCTTCATGTGGGGCCGCTTCTGCAAGAAAGAGTTCATCATAAAGACTACCTCTTTCTACATGAAGTCGGCTAGCTGCTGTCCACTTGGGTTCCGTTTCCCTATTTTCAACCTCCCGGTGATAGAAAAAGTTGTCAGATTCGAGAATTACCGTGTCTTTCTCTTTTCTTCAGATCTCAGATAATCCTCTGATATCCCAGTGCAACTTGTCTATCTTTTCTTCCAACTCTCAGGATCTTCTCGTCAGTCCTCAGTGTGAGTAAGTTGCATGTGGCCAGGTCGAGTGTTCTTAGGTAACAACCTCTACCGGAGATTCTTAGCACCCCCTGCCCCACCGTTACCATGGTCGCCACAGTAGCTAGGAATAGCGGGGCTGTCGGGGACTGGTGGCCGTCTCTGCATAACTTTCGTTATGGGGGGATGTTTGCTATAGTTGCCATACTTGGAGAGCGGGTTGGCAACCGAAGTTTTTTATTGTACTATTTCTGTTATCAGGAAGACGTTGCTGCCCACCTCCTGTCTGTTTTCTACTGTCGCCTCTTATGACACCCACAGAAAGATATGGGGTAGTGTATGCTCTTAAGCGCCACTACACTGCTATTGTTTTATAATATACAGGATTATTTTGCAATATTCGGCAATAATTAAAATAGGCTAATGGTGAAAAAAAAAATTAAAAAAACCTCAAATCTTTTTTCCTTTTTATATTTTAAATTCAGAATGCGTAATATCCACTATTTAAACATTATTAAAACATATACATTATTTAAACTGATTGCCTTTCTTAAATATCTAATACCTACTATTGTTACAAAATTTGGATTTCTTTTTATAGCATAGGTTGACAATCGGGCACACAGTCCACCTGATGGTAAGTGGTTGCTGTGACCCATAGACATCTACATTTATCCTCGTTTGCGAATCAAAATGCAGATGCGTTGTCACCCGTGAGGACTAAGATGGAATGCCTCCTTTCCAGTAAAAAGGGTCTCCGGTTCTCTACGCTCATCATACGAAACACAGCAGTAATAAGCTGCAACTTTACGGTGGTATTCTGTGAAGCGTGGTCCTTCCCCGGTCGAGCCGACCCATTCGTGCTACAACTATGTACTACTAATATAGCTGCAGCATGGCTCTACCACGTACATTTAGATAGTCAGTCAGTTAACTAACGAACGAAATATGAATCAAGAAACGTAATGGGTTAATTATACACTTGTGCTTCATATCTATACATATAAATATTACTGAAGCGTCTGTCTGTTATTAAAGTAACTGGCTTCTATTAGTAGTAAGTATTGGCTTAACCGATTGTTATGAAATTTTACGAACAGACAGAAAGCAACACAATGAGGGATCTAGGCTATTTTAACCGAAAACTTAAAGATTATTTATTTTTCTAAGAAAAAGAAATTATTAAAATATGCTCTTTTATTTTCTTAATTCTTAATAACACCACATTCATAGATCCTATTCAGGTGTAGCCGGGGCGGGTCGCTAGTTGTGAATAAATCACAAAATGACCGCAATAACCTAATCCACAATTTGCTCCCGAATTTCTGTAGCCAATTATTGGATCTCATACAACAAATAAGGATTGCCCTAAATAAGCAAGCTCTATCACCGAATATTGATACTATGGTATGAGGTACGAAATTGCCATTAATATTAAAAAGTATATTTGAAATAAAAACAACGTTCCAATGCCTACCTAAAATTAAGTACCTAATTAGTAATACTAACAAAATGCTTGAAATTACGTAAGTGTCTATATTATGGCTCGTCCTAGAAACATATGAAAAATAAAACTAAACTCAACCAAGGAAAATCTCTTGACCTTTAATCAGGCCCAAAATCAGATGGGTTATCTAGCAACAAATTCTCAGTAGTAATCTGGAGTCAGGATTTTATCAGTGTTTCAACCCTGTGCCTCAGAAAACACGTCCAGAAGTTGGTTCTGCATCTGATCTCCCTCTATTTGTGTCGGATTACCGTCCCATTGAACTATAAGAGTAAGGGAATAGAAAGTACTAAACTAACACTTTTTAACAGTGGTAGAGCCACGCGGCAGCTTTTGCTGTCGCACGGATGGGTCGGCTCGAACCGGGGTGGTACCACGACTTCACAGAAAACCAGCGTGAAGTAGAGGTTTACCTCTGCGTTTCGCTTGGTGAGTGCAGGTGGCCGGAGGCCCTTTTTACTGGAAATGAGGCATTCCATCTTAGTCCTCACGGGTGACAACGCATCTACATTTTCATTTGTAACAGGATAGATGTAGATGTCTATGGGCCGCAGCAACCACTTACCATCAGGTGGACTGTGTGCTCGTTTGTCACCCTTAACCTATATAAAAAAAAACTACGTGTGAGTGCTCACATGCCGGATGTGCGGTTTACACAGCGCTCGGTTCGCAAAGCACTCTTCTCCCTAAACGTTAGCAAGTCGAATGAGCCTAATGGAGTCCCTACCATGTAGTGTTA